CGACAAACACCCGATGACACAAAGTGCCACCATGTGGATGAGGATCACCGTGGAGAGGTCCCAGAAACCGCGTTCAGACACCTGGCCATCTCTATGGCCTGCCTATATTGCGGCCCCTGGCAGAAGCCAGAGTGGGGCTTCAAATAACAAAAAATTACGTCCTGAAAAGGACGTAAGTACTTAGTATATTTTCAACTAATCGGGAGCTTCCTGAAGGCAAATGTGTTAGGCTCAGAGTCACAGATATCGCAGCCTAGTTGTAAATCATTACACAATTTGCCAACCACCCTTGTAAGGAAGAACGAACGAACGAACGAAGAAGAAGAAGAAGAAGAAGAAGAAGAAGAAGAAGAAGAAGAAGAAGAAGAAGAAGAAGAAGAAGAAGAAGAAGAAGAAGAAGAAGAAGAAGAAGAAGAAGAAGAAGAAGAAGATAGTTTTGTTTAAACTAAGGGACAGTACAAAAACAATTTAATAGGAAATACAAACATAACTTATGTCCCCTACTATATATGCACCACCCTCAGTATTGAAAACGTAGTTTTCTATAAACAATCCATTCTTTTATTGTTGTTGTTTGTGTTTATCGGCGCTTTTATTATTTGCCGTCCTTTTAAACATGGAATTTTTCTTTACTTGAAGCCCCACCATGGCTCTTGCCAGGGGCCGCAATATAGCCAGCCCATAAATAGGGCCAACTGGCTGAACGGGGTTTCTGGGACCTCTCCACGGGTGATCCTCATCCGCATGGTGGCACATTGTGTCATCAGGTGTTTATCGCTTGTGTGATGTCCAGGTGGGGTAGAAAGTCAGTCAGTTATCATCGGCTGTAAACCCTGGTGAGAAAAACATGGATGTTCCTCTATTTTTGAACTTTTGCTTTGATCCAGGACCTGAGTCTTGCGTGTGCATCCGTTTTACAGATCTTGCTTATTGGTAAGCAGACTGTTGTTTCCCTGCGACTCCTTACCTCCCACTACAGACCCAAGCGTAAAGATGTCACCTTGAGGTAATTTTTCCTTGATTAGCTCTCGCACCGAGGACTCACCACTTATATATTTCCGGTACCCTCGGTCCAAGGTAACTATTAGTCTATATAAGGCTGCTTGGGGCGACACTGTGATCCAAAAATTACCTTTTTTTAAAATGACATCATCAGCTATGCCCTACCTAGGGCCTCACGCAGAAGGACTGTTGTAACTCTAGACGCGGTCGGGCTCCAGCTTTTTAGAAGACAGTGCTCTAGCTTGCTCTTCAGCGTGTCTCCTGTCTGATAGACATGCCAATATGGACACCTTTTTTCCCCTTGGAAAAGGATGTGGGGGGGGGGGGCGGGGTCTACTTGGCTATGTTCTTAGTAGGCTTGTTTCCAAAGCGGGGCACACACGCCATTTGGAGGTGATAGGTTCAATTTCCGGCACAGTAACTATAGCATTCGATGTTTGTGTTGTCTAGTGTGTTCTTTTGTCTTTCTGCTTCTTTCTATGAGTCATCATCATCAGGTGCCCTGCCGACTGGCGTGGGCGATCATGCCTCTCCATAATCCGCGATCTCCTGCAGCATGTATCAGTTCGTGTGCCGACACACTTCCATGCCATGCAACAAGACTGTCAAGCATCTTCTCTCGTTGTCTTCCTCTATCCCTCCTTCCACAGATCTTTCCAGTGGTCACAACATGTTCTATTTTCCCTCTTCTCATAACATGGCCGAAAAATGATGACTGTCTCCCTCTGATGTCAGTGATAAGTTGTCTTCGGTCTCCCGCCTCTTTCAAAACCTCTTGGTTGCTCTTTTTGGCTGTCCAAGGTATTCTAAGCATTCTTCTGTAAAACCACATCTCTGAGGCCTCTAAAAATTGTTTGGCCTGCCTACCGATTGTCCAGGATTCACATCCATATGTTAAAAACTGGATGTATGTAGCAAGCAAGAATTCTTTTTCTAACTCTCAATGACAAGGATATATTGCACAAGATGTTTTTTCATTTTATAAAATGCAGTTTTTGCCTGTCCAATTCTGTTTCTTATTTCAGTTATGCATCTTCCATCTGATGTTATCCATGTGCCCAGATACTTAAATTTCTGTACTTGTCTTAAAATAACACCATTGACTTTTATTACACATTTAGGAATAATTTGTTTCTTTGATACCACCATTACTTCTGTCTTCCCATTATTCAAAACTGAGGCCCATTCTTCCACTTTCTAACACCACAATGTCTATCATTTCCTGTAATTCTTTCTGACTTGTTGCTATCAAGACTGTGTCATCAGCATAACGTAAATTGTTTATATTGTGCCCACCAACCACGATTCCGGGCATATCAATTAAAGATCTCATAATATATTCACTGTATATTGAAAACAAATCAGGTGAAAGTACACATCCTTGTCGTACGCCCCTCTTTATGCTTTGAAATGTACCTAAACAGTTGTTAATTCTTATAGCTGCTGTTTGCTGCCAATACATATTCTTTATTATTCTTAGATCTTTCCCATCAATGTTTAATTTTTCTAACAGTTTGATTACTTCTTCATGCTTCACACAGTCAAATGCTTTTGTATAGTCTATGAAGCATAAGTACAAATCAGTCTTTACTTCTATAGCTCTTTCTGACAATGTCCTTAGGATGTATATGGCATTGTTTGTACCTTTTCCTTCTACAAATCCACATTGTTCATCGCTGATTTCTGGTTTAATTTTGTTTCTTATTCTTCTCATAATTATTCTCAGTAAAATCTTAGTCATGTGACTCATAAGACTTATTGTGCGATGGTCTTCACATTTTAAAGTGCCTGGTTTCTTCGGCAGAGCTATAAATATGGATTTTAAAAAGGTCATTTGGAATATACCCACTGTTAAAAATATCATTTAAAAGTTTAGTTATTATTTCAATTCCAAAATTTCCCAGTGCTTCGATTTCTTCCAGTGAGATGTTGTCTGGCCCGGGTGCTTTTCCTTTCTTCATATGATGTATTGCATCCTCAACTTCTGCAGTCATTATTGGTGGACCATCATTGTTGTTCTGCAGTTCTACGTCTGGTCTATTATCATCATACAATTCCCCTATATACTCTGTCCATCTGTTAATTATATTACTATGTCCCATTAATAAGTCACCATCCTTTGATATCAAACATCCAGTGCTGTTACGTGTCATCTTTCCTGTTAACATATTTATCTGTTGGTACATGGAATGTGAGTCTTTCCCGTGATTTTCCCCAATCTCTGTACACATTTGATTCAGCCAGGCTTTCTTTAGCCACTTTGCATTTGTTCACTATTTCTTTTTTGTATTCTAGAGTATTCTTCTTTATCATTCTTTTTCTTCCTTCTTTCATCCATCAACTGCAGAATTTCGGTTGACATCCATTTCTTTTTTTGCAACTGTATGGGTTGGTGGGATTGTCTCTTTTGATGTCTGCTGAATTGACTCACGCAACATATCCACTGTTCATCAATTGTTTGTATAATTTCCATTGCATTATACCGGTTTTGTACAGTGACGTTGTACTGTTCCTTAATTTCTTTATCCGTTCTAAGAATTCCTAAATTTAACTTGATGTTCTGTGGTGTTTTTCTAATGTTCTTTAGTTTTATTCTAATTTTTCCTACAACTGGAACATGGTCACTAAAGCAGTCTGCCCCTGGTCTAGTTTTAGCTCCAACTAAGCTGCTCTGAAATCTTCTTGAAATCAAAATATAATCAATCTGATTGCGGACATTATCACCAGGACTTTTCCAAGTCCACAATCTTCGAGGATGGTGTTTAAACCAGGTGTTACCTATTATCATGCTGCGCGACTCAGCCCATGCTATTAATCTGTCACCTCTCACATTCTTTTCTCCTAGTCCATATCCACCCGTTATTCCGTACACTTTTTTCACTTCCTACTTTTGCGTTGAAATCTCCAAGTACCATTGTTACTTCACAATTTTTGCATTGATCAACAGCCATGTCTAACTCATCATAAAATGCGTCAATGTCTTCCTCTGAACTATCTGCTGTTGGGGCATAAATCTGTACTAAGTTGATGTCAAACGGTCTGCCGCGAAGTTTTACTAATAGTACTCTATCTGATATTGTCCAAAATCCTTTAACAGTTTTTGAGTTTTTTGGATCCAAAATAATACCAACTCCCTTGCTATATTCTTTCCCTCCCGAGTAGATAATTATGTGCTGATCTGAATACTTTTCCCCTGCTCCTGGCCATCTCATTTCACTAATTCATAGTATGTTGATGTTCATTCTCTTCATTTCCATCTTGATGTTATCCAGTTTTCCGTTTTGCACGAGTGTTCTGACATTCCATGTACCAATGTTCATGATGTTTCTACCATTTACTTTTTCTACAGTAGCTGGATGACGGTCGGGTATCACCCGTAGAACATGATGCTCCCTACCGGACGAGGTGATTCCACCGGAATCCCCATTCACGTCGTTATCTGAATACGTATTATTTTGAGGCATGATTTTCTTGGGATAGTACAGCGGTGGTTTCCCCTTGCCTTCCACCGGTTTGTATATGGTTTGACTCCAATAGCCTTTGTCTAAAAAGACTTACCCTGCAAGGCAGCAGGGGGGAGAGGTTATGGCGCCTCTTACCCGCCGATGGCCATGTCGTAGAGTTTTGAGGTATTTTATAGAGTTAGCTGTCCCACCAACTAACTCGCCTCCTCTCAATGAGTGCCGATCAATAAATTGTCTCTTTATTAATTATTTATCTATACTTTTCCCTTTTTGATTTAACAACCGGAAACACGCCCACAATCTAATAGATTTCTTTGAACCCCACAAACAGGAGAGTTTGTTGTGCTTAGATACAGCTGGTGCAGAGATTTAGCTGTTTTTAGTTTTAGGTTCTGGTCATTGGCAGTTTTAAAAATAAACCATCAAATCTAACACTTTATGTTATGCTAACTTATGTAATACGTTATTGTTATCAGGGACTTGGTCTTCTCTGGACTTCATTGCTTACAGACTGTGTGTACATCACATCAAACAATGACGAATTCAAGCTTGCAAATCTCCGAAGGAAAGTCACAGTCAGGCGGCGACCAAGTTATCAATACTGAATTGTTTAAAGGGAGAGATATTCTCCGATCAGGTAATTTTGTACATCCTTTCACGGGAAACACTGAAGGAGTAATAGATGTAGACTTTTAATTAGGTCACAATTAGTACTATTAACATGTCAACTCTTCCTATGTTACTGTAGAAGGGGACGGAGCACGTGTGGGAATGTCGCGAGTGCAGTGATGTCCATTCTTGATTCAATCATTCGTTCATTCATTCATTCAAGTGAACAAGTGATGTATCAATCACAAAAATAAAGATAACCTCCAAATCCAATTAGTCAGCCTGAACATACGTTGCAAGAAAAATTACATTAACATACATACGGGGGGGGGGGGGCAGCAGGTGGAGGGCCGCTAAGACATAATGACCGTAAATGGAACCTTAGTTAAATATGTCATCACTGCTGAAAGAAAGACTACGGTAAGCTAAGGAGTTTAAGTACCTAGGCAGCGTAGACCTATTCATTGAGGATAGCTAATTAGACAAAGACATTTAAAAAAAAAACATGCATTATTTGATAATGACATTTTGAAGGCATCAAAATATGAACATGCACACACAAAAAAGCAGCTGATAAATTCACTGTTCCTACCAGTGTTGTACTATCAATGTGATCAGTAATGGACAGTCCTAGAAAAACATAAATGACAAATTAGAACATGTCAGATGAGATTATAAGTGTGGCGGGAAAAAAACAGGAAGAGGCAAAGTCACTATCGAAGAACTAAAAACAATGGTAGGCACAGTACTGATAAATAATTTCATAAAACATCAAATAATCAAATGCTTTGGTCATCAAGTCTGAATGGAACAAAATCAGCCAGCAACTAGAGCATACTACATAAAAACAGCCAGCTACAAGGCAAGAGGCTGACCAAGAAAGACGTGGGTGGAGAGAGTAAAAAAGACACTAAAGAAATGCAGTGTGATAATAATGCAAGCTATGCAACTAAAAACAAAGAGACACTAAAGAAATGCAGTGTGACAATAATGCAATCTACACAACTTTAAACAGACAGGAGACTTCATGTAAATCCTCTCTGTAACGCTTTACAGCATAAGCAATAGGAGAACGTTCCTGTGTGGGTTTTGGGGTCCATTGTGGGAAAAATAAGAATCGTCCCACTGCTTTCCCCACAAGTATATCATATGAGTCAGCTAATTGGGAGCTTCCTTCGAAGTTGGAGTGCATTTGCCCAGGTGGCAAGGAGCAACGAACTGCACATTAATAAGCCAGTAAAGTAGATGTAGTATGCACAAAACCCAGGTCCTGGCACAAAGCTAAAGTCAAAAGGTTGAACAACCAGGACTTTACGCCAGGGCTTAAGATGGTAAACAAAGAAGAAAAAGAAGTGCTACAAGTATATGGCTCTTGACCCATTTTTATTATAGACCAGTCAACACTATTGGGTCATCTGGTCAACATTATGCTGGCCACCTTTACTTCCCAGGACATTACCTGGGACCACTTTTAGACAGCGTTGACCTCAATTCCAGTTCTGTGTGTACGTGTGTGCATGTATGTGTGTGTTTAAATCCACCTTGATGCAGATTCAACCCTAAAACTTTCAGGCCAGCCTGCATTGATGAACCTTTTATTTTGGCTTTTCTGTACAGAAACTCCAGATACCTGGCTGCCTGAATGTGCCATGAAACCAGATATCACATTTCAATGTGAAGTGTGCAGTGAATATTTCAGCATTCACAACCTGTCATATCATCGTTCTTACCACAGAGCACTGATCACCCTTAACTACAGTCATTCACAACTGCCCAAAGATGTGAAGTCACTCTCTCAGAGAAGAAAAAATATCTTGAAAAGTTTACTAGCAGATTCCCCGAATAAAAACTATATACATCCAGCAGATGTGAAAACAGTTGATGCTGCATTTGAGATTGTGAAGAATCATATTGAAGATGTTGGTGAAGACAATGGCTGGACTGACGAGACAGGGGACACAAGTCTTGAGAGTGCAGCTTTCAACTCTAGTCTTGACTGTGTGTATGCGGTTGGTGTCTGCATAAGTCCAAACAGGCACTGGAAACAGAACATGGAAGATGCGCACACATACCAGGATTATTTTGGAGGTGATAAATGTAAGTGTTACCTGGCCGTGTTTGATGGTTACCATGGAACAGTTGCCGCCAAAAGATCCAGTCAAGAGCTGCATGGCATTTTGCTCAAAGAAATGGCAAAATTTGACTCAAAAATCAAGTCAACAGTGGCAAGAAACTTGGCAGAATCTTTCACAGCAAGGTCGAGCGATGAGCAGCTAAGACCTGATACAAGAGAAAGCTTCAGAGAGAATTTGCATCAAGAAAGTATGGACATAGTAGAGGTATTTCACCGTTTTCTCTATGTCGTACTCAGTTTACTATACTGCCATATGCTACACATTGCTATATACCTTTACATCATCACCGTCACGTAGCACAGGCATGCCAAACTGATGATTTCCTCCGTGGGCCATATAGGTCAATTTTGTGTCGTCATGGGGCCACGGATGACAGCCAATTGAAGTCGTTGAATGGAACATATTGCAGAAGATTTCCTTCATGTGGGCCACAAATCTGCTTGCAAAGGGCTGCCTGTGGCCTTGGGCTGCCAGTTTTAGATGTCTGATGTAGCAGGTATTGTACCAAACATCACCACAAACACGGCATGTAAAACAGCAATGCATGCGTGCCAACTTTTTTCTGCTTCATTTACTTTCATACACAGCTTGTACTCGATATCCTGCATCCACTTTCATGCTAGTCAACCCCTGCCTCATCCTCCTGGAACCACACTGTCCCTTACTGTTCTTGCCAAACCATTATGCTGTTTAATATCGCCACCAAAGTATTTCAGTTTGTGAGAAATGATACTGTCGATGAACGAGTCCCCCTTGATGTTGATACATACCCCAGATCTTGATCCAGTCCTCCTTGATGTTGATACATACCCCAGATCTTGATCCAGTCTCCCTTGATGATGATACATACCCCAGATCTTGATCCAGTCTCCCTTGATGATGATACATACCCCAGATCTTGATCCAGTCTCCCTTGATAATGATACATACCCCAGATCTTGATCCAGTCTCCCTTGATGATGATACATACCCCAGATCTTGATCCAGTCTCCCTTGATGATGAACATACCCCAGATCTTGATCCAGTCTCCCTTGATGATGAACATACCCCAGATCTTGATCCAGTCTCCCTTGATGATGATACATACCCCAGATCTTGATCCAGTCTCCCTTGATGATGAACATACCCCAGATCTTGATCCAGTCTCCATTGATGATGATACATACCCCAGATCTTGATCCAGTCTCCCTTGATGAAGATTCATACCCCAGATCTTGATCCAGTCTCCCTTGATGATGATACATACCCCAGATCTTGATCCAGTCTCCCTTGATGATGATACATAAACCTGATCTTGATCCAGTCTCCCTTGATGATGATACATACCCCAGATCTTGATCCATAACTTGAGTTTTGTGTGCACATTCTCTTATACGTATGCAGACTGTTGTTCCCGTACTTCTCAGGCAGATGCACTCGGACTCAGATTTTTTTCTCTTTTTTAAGTGATTACAATATAATGAATCACTCACATCCACATGTTGCCAGAAGACATCTATTATGATACATGATGCCTGTGTAGGCTCCAAGGTCCCATTGTGAGGAAAATAATAACAGACCCACTAGCTCCCCAACTAACATGTTTAAGAGTCGACTAATTGGGGCCTCTTTCAAAGTCTGGGTGCATCTGTCTGAGAGGCAAGCAACCAACAATCTGCATACAAATAAGCTAGATCTGTAACACAAATGTGCATGCAACATTCAGGTTTTGAAGCAAGACTAAAGTCTAGAGGTGGACAAACAACCAGAACTTTCCGCCTGAGATTACAGTTGGTGAACCTGCAGAAGAAGAAGACATTGTATTATATCATATTACATTATGCTACACTACACATCACTGTATCATTTTGTATTATATATATAATATCTACAGATCCACAAAAGGATATTATATTTGTACATTTCAGCATGTCATTAATAACTGTTGCGAGAATTACAACAAGATAATGGAGGACACAAGCGGGGTTATCCAGAGAACCAAAAATCATAAAAAAAGGCATAACATGACAGAACAGATACGTAATGTATGCATGTTTTATGTTAAACAATAGTTAACGGATAAGAAGCCGGTTTTTAGAGCAGGTCACGACTCAAGCTCAGTATTAGTGACCACAATGTTGCTTTGTTCAGTTATAATTATGCCTATGTGGGTCCTCATGTCTGGGACACAAAGTTTAGACCCTGACCCACCTAACAAGCATGTCGTAGAAGGGGTTTGCTGAAACTCGATGCATTGGACCAGAAGATGCAGATTTTGCTGCCTAGCTGTAAACCTCAACACAATGTGTCAACCACCCATTAAAGTACAAATGCAGTTTCAGAAGAAGTTACAGCTCTGTAACTTTAAAATGATCTGCTTGCAACCATAAACTCCACGTTGTCATGACAACTAGTTTACACGTCTGCTAGCTTAGTGAGCTGAGAACTGACATTACAGCACCCCGGACATTTTCATCCACATTACATCCTAATCTTCAGCAGCCAGCTAATAGTTTCAGTTCCGCTGGTGCAGGTAGCAATCTGATTATGTGTCCATCCTGCCTTTCGGCTGAGTGTAGTGTCCAGGGTTGACCAGGTCCAGGGTTGACCAGGTCCAGGGTCGAACAGGTCCAGGGTTGACCAGGTCCAGGGTCGAACAGGTCCAGGGTTGACCAGGTCCACGGTTGACCAGGTCCAGGGTTGACCAGGTCCAGGGTCGAACAGGTCCAGGGTCGAACAGGTCCAGGGTTGACCAGGTCCAGGGTTCACCAGGTCCAGGGTGGAACAGGTCCAAGGTTGACCAGGTCCAGGGTTGACCCTGTCATGTAAAACATTTAAAAAAAAGGCACCAGGCAAGAAGTCATGAACAGTAAAAAAATAAAACGAATGTCACCGGAACCAATCTTCCTTGAGGTGATGAAACTTGACTGAATGATTCACCTGTCAGAAGAAAACATTCAAAGACATTAAAATTCTGTGTAGGGGAACTGGAAATATGTCCGTGCAACTTGGCAGCTGAAAATGTTGAGTACTGTAAACTTGATGTTGCTAACAGAGAAACAGTCTGCCCACCAAGCTTGTTGTCATAGCCGTGTAACAACTTTCTGTGAAGCTCTCATCAATATTAATTCCATTGTTTTTATTAACAGAAAGTCGGCTCTGTGGCTAAGTCAATGCGAACGCTTCGTAAAGCAGGGTTCGATCCCAGCTGCGGGCCATGCACCTTGAGTTGGTATTGACAGTGGTATCAAGAAAGCCGACTGTCCAGAAAGCAATGGCAAACTACTGGACATAAATTTGCCTAGCAAAAACTGCCAGGGGCTGTTGGGGTTTGTTTTGCAATGTCCTGTAAAGCATACGCAACTAACTTTATTAACAGAAATGAGAAGATATTTATCAATGCAAACATAAATGATTCTTTTAACTCATTTCTCAGGCTTTTATGAAATCATATCTTCTCATGGATATTCATCTGTCTCATGGACAAGGTGAAAGTTCAAAGGTGAGGTGGAGTGGTACCTCAGCTGTTACTGTGCTCATACAGGATATGAAGCCAAATATAAATGGCAAATTTAGCATTGAAAAAGAGTCCTTTCCTTCAGTAGAGACAACAAAGAGTATCAAATCACAGGAAGTTATTGCCCTAATTCACATTGCTAATGCAGGTGAGTTATATTTAAATGGGTCATGTTTATCGCTACAAATCTTTACATCGTGAAAGTCAGTGGCTTTTTAGAGAATTAATGCTAAATACTTGAAGAAAAGTCACCTGCAGATCTGAAGGTAGTGGGTTAGAATCTGAATGGTGCCAGAATTTTTTTTCCCCCAGAAATGACCTTGGCTATCAGGTCAACCCCGCTTTGAATGGATACCAGATAAAGTTGTGAGATGTAAATGTGGCCGGCATGTTGCTGACCATGTCACCCACCTTAAGCCGATTGGTCTATAAAGTATAACTCAAGCCGCATGTGCCCAAGATGCCTGAAGGCGGGGACCGTGGTCTTTGACTTTACTTTAAGAAAAACCATTTTCTGTGGCAAGTAATGCAGCATATGTGATTGGCAGTTCTGTATATTTACTGACTATGTTATGTTGATTGTATGTCTCATTTCTAGCCTGAGCATATGATTGTATGTCTCACTTCTAGCCTGAGCATATGATTGTATGTCTCACTTCTAGCCTGGGCATATGATTGTATGTCTCACTTCTAGCCTGGGCATATGATTGTATGTGTCACTTCTAGCATGAACATACGATTGTATGTCTCACTTTTAGCCTGAGAATATGATTGTATGTCTCACTTCTAGCCTGGGCATATGATTGTATGTGTCACTTCTAGCATGAACATATGATTGTATGTCTCACTTTTAGCCTGAGAATATGATTGTATGTCTCACTTCTAGCCTGGGCATATGATTGTATGTCTCACTTCTAGCCTGGCCTTACAACTGTATGTCTCACTTCTAGCCTGAGCATATGATTGTATGTCTCACTTCTAGCCTGAGCATATGATTGTATGTCTCACTTCTAGCCTGAGCATATGATTGTATGTCTCACTTCTAGCCTGGGCATATGATTGTATGTGTCACTTCTAGCCTGAGCATATGATTGTATGTGTCACTTCTAGCCTGAGCATATGATTGTATGTCTCACTTCTAGCCTGGGCATATGATTGTATGTGTCACTTCTAGCATGAACATATGATTGTATGTCTCACTTTTAGCCTGAGAATATGATTGTATGTCTCACTTCTAGCCTGAGCATATGATTGTATGTCTCACTTCTAGCCTGAGCATATGATTGTGTGTCTCACTTCTAGCCTGAGCATATGATTGTATGTCTCACTTCTAGCCTGAGCATATGATTGTATGTCTCACTTCTAGCCTGAGCATATGATTGTATGTCTCACTTCTAGCCTGAGCATATGATTGTATGTCTCACTTCTAGCCTGGGCATATGATTGTATGTGTCACTTCTAGCCTGAGCATATGATTGTATGTGTCACTTCTAGCCTGAGCATATGATTGCATGTCTCACTTCTAGCCTGGGCATATAATTGTATGTGTCACTTCTAGCATGAACATATGATTGTATGTCTCACTTTTAGCCTGAGAATATGATTGTATGTCTCACTTCTAGCCTGGGCATATGATTGTATGTCTCACTTCTAGCCTGAGCATATGATTGTGTGTCTCACTTCTAGCCTGAGCATATGATTGTATGTCTCACTTCTAGCCTGAGCATATGATTGTATGTCTCACTTCTAGCCTGAGCATATGATTGTATGTCTCACTTCTAGCCTGAGCATATGATTGTGTGTCTCACTTCTAGCCTGAGCATATGATTGTATGTCTCACTTCTAGCCTGAGCATATGATTGTATGTCTCACTTCTAGCCTGAGCATATGATTGTATGTCTCACTTCTAGCCTGAGCACATGATTGTATGTCTCACTTCTAGCCTGAGCATATGATTGTATGTCTCACTTCTAGCCTGGGCATATGATTGCATGTCTCACTTCTAGCCTGAGCATATGATTGTATGTCTCACTTCTAGCATGAACATACGATTGTATGTCTCACTTCTAGCCTGAGCATATGATTGTATATGTCACTTCTAGCATGAACATACGATTGTATGTCTCACTTTTAGCCTGAGAATATGATTGTATGTCTCACTTCTAGCCTGAGCATATGATTGTATGTCTCACTTCTAGCCTGGGCATATGATTGTATGTCTCACTTTTAGCCTGAGAATATGATTGTATGTCTCACTTCTAGCCTGAGCATATGATTGTATGTATCACTTCTAGCCTGAGAATATGATTGTATGTGTCACTTCTAGCCTGAGAATATGATTGTATGTCTCACTTCTAGCCTGGGCATATGATTGTATGTCTCACTTCTAGCCTGGGCATACGATTGTATGTCTCACTTCTAGTCTGAGCTTACTCAGGGAAGGGAGCTTGCTTGCAGGCCCTGTCACCATCTGTGTGTTTGATTCTCTTTCAAGAAGGGAAGTTTGTTTACACATTGATCTGGGCCACCAGGTCGAGCCAAGCTACACCTGGTAGCATGAAAAGATATAGAACCAAATGAAAAGTAGACCAGCGAGCTTCACAACCACAAACAAAACTTTAAACATTGCAGTTACAGAGCCTTCATCAGCACATTACATAAATCAACAAAACCACAAGTGCAGAGATTAACACACACAAATTACTAAACTGAAATATTCTCGATAGCAACCACATTGTTGTTTGGCCAGTGAAATGAGATGACACATGTGGCCACTAGGAAAAAAAAAGCCCAAGAATGCAAGGGCTGTGACTCAAGGATACTTAGGGACATTTTAAAGTTTAGTACAAAGTCATTGGAGTGGTTGGATTTAATGGCCATCACCCACTGATAGCAAATGTTTTGGATAGCCAGCATGATACTGACCACATTGTCTGGTCATTTAAAGTTCTTATTGGTCTAAACAAATTTGGGAATAGCACCATATACCAAACACACCTCAAGGTGTAAAACAAGAATTCATACCTGTAGAGCCACATAGCCAGCACACCGTAAGATGTGGACAAGAATTCATACCTGTAGAACCACATACTCAACACACCCTAAGATGTGGACAAGAATTCATACCTGTAGAACCACATACTCAACACACCGTAAGATGTGGACAAGAATTCATACCTGTAGAACCACATACTCAACACACCATAAGATGTGGACAAGAATTCATACCTGTAGAACCACATACTCAACACACCGTAAGATGTGGACAAGAATTCATACCTGTAGAACCACATACTCAACACACCGTAAGAAGTGGACAAGAATTCATACCTGTAGAACCACATACTCAACACACCGTAAGATGTGGACAAGAATTCATACCTGTAGAACCACATACTCAACACACCGTAAGATGTGGACAAGAATTCATACCTGTAGAACCACATACTCAACACACCGTAAGATGTGGACAAGAATTCATACCTGTAGAACCACATACTCAACACACCGTAAGATGTGGACAAGAATTCATACCTGTAGAACCACATACTCAACACACCGTAAGGTGTGAACAAGAATTCATACCTGTAGAACCACATACTCAACACACCGTAAGAAGTGGACAAGAATTCATACCTGTAGAACCACATACTCAACACACCGTAAGAAGTGGACAAGAATTCATACCTGTAGAACCACATACTCAACACACCGTAAGATGTGGACAAGAATTCATACCTGTAGAACCACATACTCAACACACCGTAAGATGTGGACAAGAATTCATACCTGTAGAACCACATACTCAACACACCGTAAGATGTGGACAAGAATTCATACCTGTAGAACCACATACTCAACACACCGTAAGATGTGGACAAGAATTCATGACCTGTAGAACCACATACTCAACACACCGTAAGATGTGGACAAGAATTCATACCTGTAGAACCACATACTCAACACACCGTAAGATGTAGACAAGAATTCATACCTGTAGAACCACATACTCAACACACCGTAAGATGTAGACAAGAATTCATACCTGTAGAACCACATACTCAACACACCGTAAGATGTGGACAAGAATTCATACCTGTAGAACCACATACTCAACACACCGTAAGATGTAGACAAGAATTCATACCTGTAGAACCACATACTCAACACACCGTAAGATGTAGACAAGAATTCATACCTGTAGAACCACATACTCAACACACCGTAAGATGTGGACAAGAATTCATACCTGTAGAACCACATAGCCAGCACACCGTAAGATGTGGACAAGAATTCATACCTGTAGAACCACATACTCAACACACCGTAAGATGTAGACAAGAATTCATACCTGTAGAACCACATACTCAACACACCGTAAGATGTGGACAAGAATTCATACCTGTAGAACCACATACTCAACACACCGTAAGATGTGGACAAGAATTCATACCTGTAGAACCACATACTCAACACACCGTAAGATGTGGACAAGAATTCATACCTGTAGAACCACATACTCAACACACCGTAAGATGTGGACAAGAATTCATACCTGTAGAACCACATAGCCAGCACACCGTAAGAAGTGGACAAGAATTCATACCTGTAGAACCACATACTCAACACACCGTAAGATGTGGACAAGAATTCATACCTGTAGAACCACATAGCCAGCACACCGTAAGAAGTGGACAAGAATTCATACCTGTAGAACCACATACTCAACACACCGTAAGATGTGGACAAGAATTCATACCTGTAGAACCACATACTCAACACACCGTAAGATGTGGACAAGAATTCATGAGCTGTAGAACCACATACTCAACACACCGTAAGATGTGGACAAGAATTCATGAGCTGTAGAACCACATACTCAACACACCGTAAGATGTGGACAAGAATTCATGAGCTGTAGAACCACATACTCAACACACCGTAAGATGTGGACAAGAATTCATACCTGTAGAACCACATACTCAACACACCGTAAGATGTGGACAAGAATTCATACCTGTAGAACCACATACTCAACACACCGTAAGATGTGGACAAGAATTCATACCTGTAGAACCACATACTCAACACACCGTAAGATGTGGACAAGAATTCATACCTTTAGAACCACATACTCAACACACCGTA